CAATCCGTATGACGGAAGGTACTTCTATTAAATCTCACTTGGATGAATTCAATTCTATTTTATTGGACTTGGAAAATATTGATGTCATAATTGACGATGAGGATCGCGCTGTTTTATTGCTTGTCTCTCTCCCTAAATCATACAAGCATTTCAAAGAAATTATGCTGTATGGTAATAGTAGTGATACCCTTACTTTTGACAATGTTAAGTCAAACCTGTTGTCCAAAGAAAAGTTTGACTTTGAAATTAAGTCTGAGGACAAAGGTGAAGGCTTAACTGTAAGGGGTCGTTCACTTGAATCAGGGAGTAGCAATAAAAATTCTAGATCCAAGTCCAAAGGACATAAGTCCAACAAATCCAGTAAGCACTGCAAGAAGCATGGTAATGATGTGACTGAATGCTTCAAGTTGAAAAACAAGCAAGAGAGAGAAAAGAAGTCCGCTGAAGCTAGTGTTGTTGAAAGTGATTCAGTAGGCGATGTTTTGTTATCTGTTAGCTCCGGTTGCAAACGGAGCGAAACCGAGTGGATTCTGGACTCTGGTTGTACATTCCACATGTGTCCTCACAAAGACTGGTTCATCTCTCTGGAACCGGTTGATGGTGAGTTGTCTTGATGGGTAATGATTCCCAATGCAAGGTTAGTGGAATTGGAAGTGTGCAGTTTAAAACTCATGATAACGTTATGAGGACTCTTACCAATGTTCGGTATATTCCTGATTTGAAACGCAATCTGATATCATTGGGCACCTTGGAATCTCTGGGGTACAAGTACATAGCTGAAGGTGGAATTTTGTAGGTCATAAAAGGGTCTATTGTTCTCATGAAAGCTTCTCGTTCTGGAAGCGTGTACGTCTTTCATGGCAGTACTAAAGATGATGCATCTACTAGCAAAACACCTCTCGTCGAGCCACAACGAGAGTATCCATTGTTATGGATCGTCCTAGGAGGGCAATCAAGAAACCTGCTAGGTATGCTAGTGATGATGAAACCAACATGGTTGCTTATGCTCTTTTAGTCGCACAGGAGGTTGATGATGATCCATCCTGCTATTATGAGGCTTTTCCTGTTGCTAAGATCAAGCAGTGCTTGAGTTTAGTCGGCTGTTCCAGTTGTTAATTCCACAATGGATTTGATCCATGGTGGAGATTGTTAGGAAATAATAATTTGTGGCTCAAAATCCATGAGACCACTTCCTTCAACATTGCATGCATCATGGTCCCTCTTCTTGCATGTTCACCTAGCTTTGTGGAGGTTCATGCATTTCCCTTATTTCTCTCTAAATTTCATTGTATAAATAGATTAGGTTTGTTGCTTTGTAAATCACTCATCATTACATCAATTTAGAATTGATTATTCTTCTTTCTTTTGTCTTCACGTAGCATACGTGTGTATATATATATATATATATATATATATATATATATATATATATATATTTTATTCATTCTTGATAGTAATATATATATATATTTTATATTTCCCACTTTATTAATTATTTTTGTCATTTTGCTTCCGCATTATTCCGCTATATTCCTAACAGTATCCACATGGATTGATATGCGTAACATTTCGCGTGTCCAAATAACTTGATGTGCGTGTACACATGGATTACATGCGCGAGTACTTTAATGGGTGTGTGTGAATTTAATCTTTAATATGCGCACACTAATATTTTAATATGCTTATAATTCTGTTTTTACTGTGCGAACAAACGGCCAATAAAATTTTAAATCTTTTGGGGGGATTCAATCTTGGGTGGATTCAATGTATTCAAAGACTTCTACCATTTCGCCATAAGATTCATTCGTTTATTCCCTGTATACGGAAATATATGTTGCCTGCCAACTGTTCACAAATCTAAAAGAAAACAATATGCCTATATTTACTTGTTTATGTGCGTTAGATTATCCATTCATCTCCTAATAAATGCATAACCTTGATTAACAACTAATAACAAGTTAATAATAATAATAAAAAAAACAGATTATCCCTTTAGTATAGCCTTTATGTGCGTTAAATTCCTTAATCAACAACTTTAAACAATATCATTACAATGTGGATTTTGTTAAATAAACGATGACATACTGATTTGAACAAATAATATAGTAATTTGTTTAATTATAAATATATTATATGTGTGTGCCTATTTAATAAAGCTATGCTGCGCGTTTCCAAATAGCTTAAAGTGCGTGTACAAAAGGATTACATGCGCAAATCCACAAACCATTGACCTTGCGCGAGTACTTCAATGAATATGCGAGAATTTTATCTTTAATATGCGCACACTAATACTTTAATATGTTTATATTCTGTTCTTGCTGTGCGTACAAACGGCCAAAAAATTTTTAAGTCTTTTTAGGAGGGGGGGGATTCAATCTTGGGCGGATTCAATGTGTTAAAAGACTTCTACCATTTCGCCGTAAGGCTCATCCATTTATTCCCTGTATACCGAAATATATGTTGCCCAATCAAATCCCATACCTTTCATCTTCATAAACGCATGACAGCTGTTCACAAATTTAAAAGAAAACAATATGTCTGTATTTACTTATTTATGTGCGTTAGATTATCCATTCATTGCGTTTTTAGAAAAATCAATTAAATATGAATTTCTTTCATTTAAATTCGTCGAAATATCTCAACCGTCGATTTGAGTCCCGGTCAATTCAATTCAATTTCGTGCGACGTCAAAATAAATTAACTAAAACTAGTATTGTACCCGTGCGATGCACGGATAATAATTATACAGTGATAAGTTAACTAATTTTACCATTAACATGAAAAATATTTCCTAAACGATATTGATTATGGAAGTTTACATATATAGATAAAAGAATATTTGATACTAAAAGAAGTTGTTAAAAATAAGGAAACAAAATACGCAAACCTTTCTTCTTCCCCAGGAACTCATCATCAGAGCTTTTTACCTTTACCACCGCGATTTCCAGTTTTTTTCAAAGTCAGGCAGCATCCTTTGAGCTTTACAAGCTTTTAGTCCTTCGACATTGCTTAACTACCAACAACTTCCGTCGCGGAAAGGTTTATTATCAACTCCTTCTAGATACTAAAAGCAAAAACAGCGTCTGAAGAACATGCAACCCACGCGGCCGAATCAAGCCAACATCCACCTACTAGAAAAGGTAATTTTCATACATTCATATCACATGCTCAGCTTACAGATTAATTTAACGCACGTTAGGTCTTGTATGTATAATTTTAAGATTAGAGTTTCTCACGCATTTTGATTTTACTTGACAAACCCTAATAAATTCGAATTCAGGAATATTATTTCGTTGAATGTATACTTCACGTGGATTCATCTTAAAAGTTTTTTATATGCCGCACATTGTTTACTATTTATACGCATATTCTATTTCTGTGTTATACGATTAACCCCAAAAATTATGAAATTGTTGTACGCATTTTGTTTTCATGTTTAACGCACTCTAACTTGTAGACCGACGCACATAAATTATGAACTCGCATACCTTCGAACAATGCACACACATTCTGCATTTTTGCCTCTTTTTCACTTTAAAATAGCAAAAAGTTTGTATTTTTTGCAAATATAGGTTCCAAACGCAAAAGGGACCGAAATATGCAGATTGTTGTAGCTCCAGTAGATGATGGACCTATTCAGTCTTCAAAAAAGACTCGATCCCGAAAGCCTAAATCTGATGACATTCTTGCAAAATTTAAAGAAGTTCAGAACAGGGGGTCTTCCTCCATGTTGGTTAATGCCATTGCAAAGTTTACTCCAGAACAACAAACTGCAGTACGGGAGATGGGATTCGGAAGTCTTTTAAATCTGAAAATCAAAGAGTTCCCGAATCACCTATGCTACTGGATCCTACAAAACTATGACGGCATGGCAGACAAGCTGACTATACGTTCAAACGAAACTTTGGACGTAACTGAAGATGATGTGGAAGCTGTTTTAGGCCTCCCTAGGGGACCCCTTGAGATTAAATACAAGGGAGTCAGGACCTCCTCTACTAATGCACTGTTTAACGAGTGGAAGAGTAATATTGTGGCAATAAAACCGTCGTCCGCGAAGTATTCGGAGGCTGTTACAGCAATGCTTGCCTGCATCGATGGAGGGAGATGGTTCAAGTTCCACTTTATTCTTCTATTCAACTCCATGTACATCGAAAGTACAAAAAATGGGTATATTAAGCCACATATACTGGAAGTTGTGGACGATGTAGACAAAATTCCCCAATTCAATTGGTGCAGGTTCACCCTCCAAACCTTGAGTGCTGCAGCTGTTACTTGGCAGCAAACTTATACTGGATATTTCCCCGGTTGCATGTTGTTCATGCTCGTAAGTTTTGAAGCATATTGAGTTTCTACATAAAAAATAAAAAGGCAAAATGTCGCAGATATTTATTTTAATGATCTTTTCATTTATATTCAGGTACATTATGTTGATAGGGTGATTATCCGCTTCGAACGACCTGTCAAGAGGTCTATTCCGGCATTAGTAGGGTGGACAACTCCACTTCTAAGGCAGCGGCAGAAGACAGAAGCTGAAGCTGGTGGTTTTGGACATGGAAGAGTCGAACCACGCAATCCACAATATATACCAACCCAAGCTGAGGAGGTATGTTCATTTATTATATTTTTTTAAACGCATATAAAGTTATAATTATATGCATATTCAGTATTTTTATCACGCACGTTATGATTTACTGTGACGCACACTAGTTCATAACCCTTTGCATTTTACAACAATTATACATAGAGAAAATTTCAATTTTGGTCCACTGACTATTGCACTTGTGTTAATTGCAACACTTGACTATCAAAAATGTTAATTTAGTACTTTGACTATGCGATTTCTATCAATTTTGGTCACGCCGGCCAAATTATCGGCCAATTGTGACCGGAAAATTTTAATGGATACAATTTTGAGGGTATTATAGTCATTTTAGTCCTTTTTTCTTTCTTCCCCGATGAATCCATCTCTTCCCTCTGGTTTCTGGCGATTGTTTCTTCCTTCGTTCATGAAGCTGCCGCCGCCATCCTTCATCTCTCCCTGTTCGGATGAGTTTGGTCCTCTCTTCTTTCCAAAGCCAACAACGGCAGTGACGAAGCGGCGGTGGCATACAGTTCAAGAAACCAGACAACAAAAATAAACACAACCAAACAACAAATATACTATAATACAATATAGATTAATACTTGAGTTTTTTTTTTAATTATTTATCCAGCAATGATAAAAAGAGGGCGAATTCTGCAGAGGAAGGATTCAATCTCTTCGCTCAGAGCTCTGTTCGGCGAATTAATCTGTGGTGCGGCGGTGGCTGGAGGTACTCCGATCGGTGGCGTGGAAATTTCTCCGGAGCAGCAACGCGCACTACTTTGGTTCTTCTTTCTTTTATTTTCTTAATTTGTTGCGTAATATGATTCTATATACTCATCTCAATTCCAATTTATTATGTGATTGTGTACTGCAAATTATTAAGGTTAGTGCCTAAGTATGACACTAATTGCAACCTTAATTATGATGCCCATTCGGTGATTGAAAATGGCGTCTAAGCTTCAGCAAGTTTCAGTAAACATTTTCCAGCGGCGTAGAAGATAAGAAACAGAGAAGAAAAAAAAAGGTTAAATGACTAAATTGCCCTCAAAATTTTATACATTAAAATTTTTCGATCACAATTGGCTGGTAATTTGGCCGGCGTGATCAAAATTGATAGAAATTGCATAGTCAATGTATTAAATTAACATTTTTGATAGTCAAGTGTTGCAATTAATACAAGTGCAATAGTCAGTGGACCAAAATTGAAATTTTCTCATTATACATATACTGCTTGAAAGCACATTAGCACAATACAGGGCGCACATTAAGGTCTGTTAGATGTAATTAGCATTGATACACATCATGTAATAATCATACAAATGTTCATTTCCCACACAGGAGATGAACAATCTTATTCGATACCATGGCAGATCATCCTCCGTCATCCACAACAAAGTTAGGGTTAGGAATCTGAATTCCCTTGCACACAAAACACTTGCTGCTGCAATTCCAGGTGTGGATTCAACTCTCTCCCGAGAGGAAAGAAGTGCATTCGACCCTGCAACATGTACTGCAGTTGAATTTGCAATACAGAATAAGCTAAAATATATTAGGGAATCTTGTGATATGCCTGCTTCAGACTCTGGAATTAGCCCCGTTCAAACAACCCCCATTCCGACACAACCGCATACAAATAAACTGTATGATATTGCACATGTTGCCTCCATCTACCTTAATAATGAAGAACAACAAGACGACGTTTCGGAAGAGGAGCATGAGGATTCAGACCAACATCCAGAATGTGCTGAACAAGAGAGTGAGCAGGTTGAGGCTGTTGCCAAAGAAGCTCCTGCACACGTTATAGAACAAACTATAGCTGAGCATGTTGTCAGTGAGCAGGTTACGGGTGTTGCCAGGGAATATAATGCAAGCGTTGAAGAGAAAACTGGTGTTGATGAGGAAGGGAATGAGCATGTAAATGCTGCTGCGAGTGAAGCTCTTGAACCCATTGCACTACAAGCTATAGTAGAGGATGTTGATAGTGAGCAAATTAAGGCTGTTACGTTGCCAGTGAAGCTATGGAACAAACTATAGTTGAACAGGTTGTGAGAGAGTAAGTTAATGCTGATGAGGAAGAGAGTGATCATGTTAATGCTGCTGCCAGTACAGCTCTTGCAACCGTTGCACAACAACCTATAGTTGAGAAGGTTGATACTGAGCACATTAAGGCTGTTGCCAGTGAAGCTTGTGCAGACGTTCCAGAAAACACTAGAGCTAAGGAGCTTGAGCGAGCTGAGCTTCCAGAGCAACTTTCATTGGTAGACAATGTTAGCCATGCTGATGACGAGTGTGAGAAAACTATGATTGCTGGTAATGAAGAGCAACAAAAATTCACACCAGACATTTCAGTATCCGACATTGAGCAATGTGACATTGAAATACATATTCAAGTGTCGCCAGTTGATGCATGGGGTGATGCGATGAATGCTGATCATGCCAAATGTCTTTCAGAACTTGTAAGCATACCAAAGCCGTGTCCTAGTGTTCAATCAGCTCATCTTCCTCACGATGGACTCCCTCCAAGTGTTCAACCAGACTTAGTCCCAGAAGCAGCAGCTTCGAAGAAAGCTGGAAAGGCTATATCAGAGCCTGCTGAAGATCATCAGCCGATAGGACGGAGAACACGAAAACGGTCAGAACCATTAAAGTCTCCATTCTTTTTAAGACAAGTGCAACTCAGGTCAGCAATCACTCCTACTGAGAATGCATTTAAAGTTTGGATTGAAAAGGCAGACGAAACGGCTGAGTAAGTTATACCCAAAATCCATATTTTGGTTCTTGTTAATTGAACCTGCTAATATCTTAAATTTTATTTATGTTTTCTTTGGTTTTTTCTAATGTTTATATTAAATATTTTTATCTGAATATTTGTAGCTTTCAAGAAGTGTTTAAGAATGGGGATAGGCTCCTATTCTTAATAAATTTGAGGTCATTGTTAGGGCATGCGTATGTCGACTATGCAGTGTTGGACACTTGGAGCCTAATCCTCAATCACCTCGAATATAACTACAATTCTAAAGATTCAGTTAAACGTTTCTTTTTTTACAACAAATCCAGTGGTAAGTTATTCTTTGAACCAGTTATAGTTTCATGCACATTTATATACCATATTGAAGCATATATATGATTGAAACTGTGATTATAAATTTTTTCATTTAAAAATGCACATGATAACATATGGTTTCACACACTTTAATTAAAAAATTCATGATTGTTTAAATGTATAATTAATGTCTAAAATTCATGATTTTATAAACAAATTCTATTGTGAATGCACCAACACAAGAGTACACCGATCAATTCTACCGTAAGTTTGAAGAACATGTTGATGCCGAGATTGACGTTTATGACAATCCTTTGACGCGACGATTGGTACATTATATTCCAAATTGTTTACATAAAATTTGTATTTATTGTTTAACTGTGCTAACACATTTAAAAACAAATTCCAGCTTGCAGTTCTTTTTTCCGGTCATCCAATTTGAACACATATACATAGTATGCATTGATATGATACGCTGGTATACACAGGTTGATATACTTGACAATTCCTCCGTCGGTGGTACTACCACAAGCAAATATGCCAATCTACCTCGTACATTGGTATGTATTGACTCACGCATTTTAAGTCATTATACATACTTTTAACATTTTGATATAATTTCTTTTAAAGAAATAACTTTCTGTTTTATTGCAGCAACAATATTTTGCATAATATTTGGAAAAGAAGATGATGCACACTTCTGCAAATGAACTTAAAAAGGCTATAACAACAAGACTGGAGAAATGTAGAGATCAGAAAAACAAGAATGACTGTGGTGTATTTACAATGCGCCACATGGAAACGTACATGGGCGCTGGATCGTCTGATTGGGACTGTGGCATCAAGAAAGGAAGGATAAAAGATCTTGAACATCTCAGGATCAAGTATATTGGAGCGATTTTAAATGCTGAAAATAACGAATTGTCCAATGAGAACAACGAGAAAGCTGGTCTTCAAAACAGATAGCCCACTTGGTATTAGTTTATGTACTTATCAAACATTAATATTTTTTTGTTATATAAAAACCTTTTGTTACGTTAAGCAAATTAAGTTATATTTTTCACGCACGGTACAACATGCGTGAGTGCATATCTTAATGTGCGTTCATTTGCATACTAAAAATATCATGGAAAATAATAATTATTAAAAACAAAACAAAAATTCAAATAAATTAATGTGCGTTCATATTCACCTTTACGTGCGAGTTACAAAAAAACAACGTGCGCGACCTCACATCTTGATGTGCGTTCGTTTGACAACCAGTTGAGTTCGTCATTTCTCTCATTACTTTTAATATGCGTATCATATCTCTTTAATATGCATCTTGAACCTCTTTAATAAGCCTCTCGTATATTTTAATATGCGTCTCGTTTATCCTTAATGTGCGTTTCAAATCTATTTTACGTGCGTCCGTCCGACTAATACTGCGGTGTGCTTTTGTGTTACTTTATTTCACGCATTCAACTTAAAATATCACTGTTCTATCATTTCAAAAACATTTCGCGCACTCCGGTTCTAAAACAACTGAATTAGTATTCCACAGAAATCTTCCTACCTTCTCTTTCTTCAGATTCCAATATCATCTTTCAAAAATTTTACAGATTACAGTCGTCGTTCTCCATTCCAAACTTTTTTTAACAACATCGCACGCATGGCGTCGCCGGGGAATGCTCCACAACCTGATAAACCTACTCAAATAGCATCTACTGTGCAAGGTAAATTCGACCCCTGCTCATCCCAATAACGTCGTTTTCTGATTAATTTCACGCACGATTTGCATGTTTATCTCGGAATGATACAAAAAAATAAAGTTAAAATGCAAACACAACGTCATACTAGTTCAACTAGGCTATGAGCTAAATAGTTGCAATATATATACATAATATATATACTCATTGACGCATACTATTATCTAATTGTGGATGCATCTCTTTCCAACGAATTGATCTTCAAATTGATGCATTAGGTTTTTATTAAACACATACCTTAAGTAATGTTTGTAATCAATTTACTTTAAACCTTAACGCACAATAAGTACTACTATAGCGCATAACCTTTACTCACCTAACGCACATTAAATTTCAAACTCACTGAATAAAGTTATACTTACACGCGTATAAAGATCTGTCCTAACGCACATTAGTTCCAAAACTCCCATATCTTTATGTTACATAACTTATGTTGTTATCCTTGTGCAAACTACATTCAACTTACTACACATTGGTCATGCATTTACCCATACTTGTATTTATACATTTTTTTTGAAAAAAAACAATAGGTAAAATACGGAAAAGCCAGTAGAAATTAGATATGGTTATTGCTACATCATCTGGGGGGGGGGGGGGGGGCTGTACAAGTTGGAAAACAAAAATCGCGATCAAAAAATAGAAACCAAGGAATTTATGATGGTGTGCCTGAAGTTAAGAACAGGGGATCATCACCTAGGTTGGTTGACCCAATGAAGGATTTTAGCCCTGAACAGCGAGCTGCAGTCAATGATATAGGTTTTGGGAGTATCCTTAGCCTGCAGATTACCGAATTCCCAATACGACTGAGCTATTGGATACTCCATAACTACGATCCAATGGACGGGACCTTAACATTGCACTCTAGATCCAAGCTTGATGTGACAGAAGATGACGTTGAATCTGCCTTGGGCCTCCCAAGGGGACCAATTGAAATTTCATATGAGAAAGACAGGTTGTCTCCTACTCTCCCACTGTTCTTGGATTGGAAAGCCAAAATTCAACCAAAGAACCCAACCAAAGTCCTGTATGGTGAGGCTATTGAAGCAATGATGAAGTGCACTGATGGAGGAGACTGGTTCAAGATCCACTTCATGGTGATACTAAGCTCTATGTACATCGATGGCCCTAAGAGTGGCTATGTTGGTCCACGAATTTTAGAGGCATTAAATGATGTCACCAAAATCCATGAATTCAATTGGTGCCGCTTCCTATTGTAGCGATTGAATGCTGCAGTACTTGCTTGACAACCAACCCCGACTGGTTATTTCCCTGGATCCCTCCTGTTCATGCTTGTAAGTCATACATGTGTATTTGTTCTGTTTAAAATACAAAACATAGTACCTTATGTTGCTAACATTTGTCATTTGTATTCAGGTACACTATGTTGACCGTGTTCTGTTACAGTTCCATAGACCTGTTAAAAGAGCTATTCCAGCTTTAATAGGATGGACAACTAAACATTTAAAAGATCGAGAGTTGGAAGAGTTTA